CTTCATTATCACTCCCACTACTTCTATGTTGGTAAAACCCTTCATTGGATGTTACTTGGACTCTCGCAACTAACTCCTAAAATTAATGTTATCAACAATCAAAAGATGGTGTCTACACTGTATGCAAGGCAGGGATAAAACTGAAGAGAGGAGGCAAGATAATATAACCTCTCAGATGGGTACTAGACTTGTTGGAGTGATCACTTCTAAGTTACATAAATGTCTCATCACTATGTTGTATACCTGAAACTAATATAATATTGTATGTCAACTATAGTTGAAAAATTAAAAAAAATTAAAATACATAATAAGAGAAAAAATTTTAAAAATGAAAATAAAAGAACTGTAAAGAAAAATATAACCTCTGGTTCCTCTCTTTAAGGAGCACACAGAATAAACTAAATTGTTTTCATATAAAACAACTAGAGAGGTAAGATAGCATTACATACAAGCTGTAATTATCCCACACGTTAACATTTAGAAATTCAAGCTATATTACAAATGGCAATTTATTTTTAGTGAATTACCTACATTTTAAAGTAGGTTTGTAAGAAGTATTTTGGCCTGAATTATTTTAATGTCATTATGGCTCAACTTTTCTTTGGTTTATGCCCTCTTATTCCACCTCTCCTAATTCTTTTAGTCCCATTCCATCTTCTCTTCAGTGAAAACACAAATCTTGCTCTAGGCAATTTTAAAATATCAACTCAGAGTGGACTGAGGTTGAGTATCCTCATAGAGTTACATCCAAAAACTCGTTCTTCATCAGCTGCTGAAGGTCAGTTTAGGCTGCTAGGGAGCCCAGCATGGAACAATGGCAGGAAAACGGAATTCCCTTCATTCCTTAATTCACATGCAAGTGAGGTGCCAATCAAGTGCTGACAAGCATGGAGAAACCCAAATCAAAAGTGGGTAGAGATATACTTTCAAAAGGAACAGTTTTCACACATTTCTAAGTGATGTTTTTAATGGCGGTTGTGTACATACCATTAATAACATGGAAAAGGAAATAAAAACAATTAGAAAAACAGTAATTTTCTATCAGCTGAGATGATTCAATAAACTAATGAAATATATTACTACAATTGTTTACTGTGTTTTATAAAAAAAATTATCAACACTTTGATTAAACAAAGAAATCTGAATGTAAATTGATTTATTGAGTGCTGCAAATGGGGAAGGTAAGGTGAGCTGAGATTAGAAACTGGGCATTGACAAGGAAAGCTTGTAATTTCCAAATAAAAGAAAACTTTAAGGCTGCTTGATTTTGTCAAACTATCACCTAGAAAACAAGAGCAAAGCACTCTGAAATGATCAACAATGGAAGCAATGGAATCACTTCATCAACGTGGCTGGTAAAAGAGATGATGAAAACGCTTACAACTGCATTGTTTTTTAATGACAGTTAATTTCCAACAAATGAAGTCAAATTTTTGACAACTACTGTAAGGCAAAAGTGAGCTGCATTATTGTAGATGTCTTTCTGGATGAATTTGGTAAACGCATCCTGATTATGACTACTAATTGTATCATTGTACAAAACAGAATGCAGAACACAGAAATGTAAGGCTTAGTAAATAAATAGTGGTTTAATAACAGTAACTTTATATATTGGCATTATTTTACATTGGTGTTATTTTAAATACACAGAAAAGATAACATAGGGCAGACATGTTACTTTGAAAAATTGATTATCAATTCATAAAATAAATAATTCTTTCCTTTTGCCTCTAATGACTGAATGGTGGAATTGCTACCAGAGCTGTATTTTCAACATCTATTTTTACTAGGATCACAGAAAGTTTAGAGAACTGGTAACTTGAGCTGTTAACATATGATGAGAATAAAAGCAGTGAAAGGCACATTTTTAGTATCGTTTTTCTCATTATTATAGTAAACTGTATACTGTTTATATAAGGTTAGACCTGATCAAGTTCCAAGATTTACTACCATAAAATGAATACGGGTTTTGAAAATAAATCTCTTAACTATAATGTATTCTTCAGGGGAAATTCAACACTTTAAAGTAAAATAAAATCATAAATTATGTTCTTAGTTTTCAAAATATTAAAGTTGTACAATTATTTTGTGCTCTAAATTTAAAAGTAATTTATTTCCAGATATCTATTAGCAGCATATTTAATTTTAAACTACAATTGTAAACAATTTTAATTTATTAAATAGCAAGATACATTTTAGAATAGGTCCTGACTGGTGCCCGTTTTTCAAACAATAATCACTATAAGTAATTGCATATTAAAACTACTGTCTAACAATTTACATTTAAAACAAATTTTCTTAAAATTCATTATCTACAAAAAAAGTATGCGAACTTGTATGAGAATGGTAGAAAAATGATCTCCATGCATTCAAACATGATGGTACAAATTAGGACTGTTCCATAAGATGTGTGTGTGTGTGTGTGTGTAGAGTTTTTAATCAGGAGGACAAAATATGACAATTTTTAAAAATTTAAAGTTTACTGAAATCCAAAGGATTTAATTTCTGATATGTATAAGGTATTATTGAGACAAAAAAACTAAACCACAATTTAAGATTTTTACAATTTAATTTCTTATAAAGTTAATATTAAAATTGTGAATGCACATAAACAATTTCATATATTACACTTATGTTGAAAAATCCTGAGAGAACGAATATCTGTCAACATTTTAAACATCGTGACTTTTCCCCTAAGAATATTGGGGAGAATAGGTTGAGAATATTATTCAATTTTAGGCAAAAGCAAAAGGCTTAAAAATATTTCCATTTTTTTTGTTTGTTTCTTCATCAATGCTACCTTTAAAAAATTGTTTTAAGTAGAAACATAATGGCCTTGTTTATATATTAATCCAGCTTTGTCAAAAATTTATGGTAAAATAGATCAGTGTACAATGATATTTGTTTAGAGGAATCCATACTATTAGGTCAGGAACCACTTTTTCTTTAGTTCACCATCTACATGTCCCCATTACATACCCCCATCAAAGTTACTTCCCCAAAAGTAGCGAATATATGAAGTTAAGATAATTGCCATTAATATTTTAAAACCTAGACAAGGTATATTACATTAAATAGACTTCTCAGGGCTGGTGTTGCCTGACAGATATGTGATGTGCCAGTGGTTATATTATATTCCTCCTCCCATGCATGCACCTCCTGCAGAGATATCAGACTACAGAAGCTGACCCTTACTGAGACCATCTTGTCTCTCTGACAAAGCTCCTTTTTAACTTCTTACTTACTGGTTACTTCCTGTGATGGAGAAAAACTTTAGCTCAGCTTGTGATAATTTCACAGGCCCTGAGGACCCTGACCTTAATAGCCTCAAGGTCAGAAGTCAAGTCTTGTTCTGAAACATCTGTGTGCTTTATATTAAAGTGGAACAAAAGTGGAGAAATATCCACCAGTGTGTGACAAGTAGGACAGGCAAAATAGACTGACACACTGGTCATCTGTTACTGTGGCATCTTAAGTTCATTTTAAAAATTGTCCAAAATTCACTTGAATTCCAAATTTGATGCACAACAGATTTTTATAAACTGTCTTAAAGTTAAAAAAATGGGAATATCTGTTTTACAGAAATCTGAAATTTGATTGGTTTTGCAGGCTTTCAGACATACGAGTATTTTAAGTTATTATTATAAGTGTCAATGAAATTTCATGCTTTAAGTAATTTAATGGCTTACCAAAAAAAAAAAAAAACAAAAAAAAAACTAAGCTATATATATGAAAGCTATATGTGTGTGTGTGTGTGTGTGTGTGTGTGTGTGTGTGTGTGTGTGTGTGTGTGTGTGTATTTGTTTGGGTTAAGAGAACTATTTAAGAGACAACATTCACATTTTTAAAAGTACGTCATACTAGTACGTTAGCTTTCTGAAGAGATCTATTAATACTATGTTAAAATAAATTCAGCAGAGTTAAAAGTAGTTGGAAATCACTTCTAAAAAGTAAAATCAATTTAAGACATAAATGATTTAACTTATTTCTTGATCTTAAGAGAGTATAAGCATTTGTAAATTTAGGTCAGCAAAATTATTCTCAGGTGTCTCCAACAGTTTTATATCTAAATTATGTGGGTAAGCAATAAGGTGTGGGGAATTTCAAGAGGCAAGGAAACATACTTAATTTTCATGAAAAAAAACGCATAGCAAAGTTTAGAAACATAAAAATTAGACAACCAATGCTGTGCTTGCTTTTTATGTCCACTTTAGGCTATTTGGATTTAAAATTATCAAATGTACTTTAATCAAATTAATCAGTTTATTCCAGCACTGGCATCTTCCTGTGACATAAGGGGTTAGCGATATGGAGGCACAAATTCTTCATCAGTGCACTATTAGTATTGATTATATCTCATTCAACATTCATACTGGCACAAGGTATGGTATTATAAATATTGCATATGATACAGAAAAATTCAGAATTCTTGATAATTTTTTCTATCATGTTCACATTATCTTAACTTCAAGAATCAGATTATTTTGAAATGCAAAGATTTTTTTTTTTTAGCTAAGCAATGAGTTTCACTTAGAAGGGGATTAATGGAAGCTTCCTGATAATGTTAATACTAATTATATAGATTCTGAAAGAGCTAACTTGTAGAGATTAAAAATCAGATAAAGATTATCAAAATATCCCAAAATATTCAAGGGGTGTCTTTGAAATTTGTATCACTGTACAGATAATATATGCTTCAATGGTGTACACATAAAGCAGGAAACATAAATATCATACACTATATGGAAACTGGGGCTATCATGTAGAAATTAAAAAGTAATATATGAATAAAGAACAGGCAAAAGCTTTCTGGTTAGCTTCTAAAAGCTCTGCAAGAATAAAATAAATATATTCTTTTTAATACCAAAAATTATTTACTAAAAATACATGATTTTTATCCTTTATAAAATAATTTAAAGTAATGATACTAACAAAAAGAGGATGGAGGGGGTAAACATATAAGGAGTTTGGGAATTAAAAAGAGTTAAATGTGCACTTACCAGTTCAACAAAAGCAAGTCCTCCATAGCTGTGAGCAACAAAAAATACATTCTCAGCTGCAGATTGGGCTATGAAATGGTCCCACACATAGACTGCATGTTCTTCAGGAGAACCATTTTCCTATAAAGAAAACAAACATCATATATTAGATACTGTATCTAGTTATCATAGTAATCAAAAATTAAATTATATGCTTGCTTACATAGCATAAGATATAAAATGGTTATAACTTATTCAAAATAATAACAATACAAAAGAACTACATTGAAAATTCAAATTAGATAATAAATTAGTATTAAACTATTAGAAAATTACTGCTAAACAACTGCTATTATACTCTTCTTAATCAGAATATTTAAAATAATATATTTTTGAGGAGGAATTATATTCTGGGTATATCTGAAGTATTAAAATATATCTAAATACATTACAATTGCATAGTAGAAAATATAGTGAGTGGTAGTATGATGAAACAGTGTAACATAAAAAAACTCAGATACATTTCTATATTTGTATTATACATATATCAAAATTATTTGCTTTATAAAATTTTAACTATCTCTGTAAGCTGAAAATAAGGAGAAAATTAGCAACAAATATTTTCTATTTATATTATTTAAAACTATACTTTTTTTCCTAAAATGATTTTCCATGCAAATTTTACTTCTAAACTAGTAGAAATCTAGACATATAAACCCAGGTCCTTTCACATTTCTCCTAAATTGCTAAACCTTAATAAATGTATGCATGCTGCTTTAATTTCAAAAGTTCTATAATAACTTTATTTTCTTGTATTTATTTCTATTGCTGAAAATCGTGGTAAAACTTGGATAATGTGAAAAAGGAAAAAAAAAAAAGAAAACCAAAGAGCTAAATAATACTGATCAAAAAACAAACTGCTAAAAACTAAAATAGATCTTGAAAATGTTTTATATAAATATTTCTTGGAAGCGTTAACACCAAAAGACTAATTGCCTAAGAATGTCAGATTATTAGACAAGAAACACAATTTATTCATACTTTCCATCTCAGAAATTTTATACTACCGTATCAGGGTCCACATGAATGGTTTCACTTTCCACCTAGGAGGTGGTGTTCCCTAATGCCTATCTTCCCTTTAAATTTCTCTCCAGAGCTCCAGGCCCAAGGTCATTGTCTTTTGGATGTCCCACATATATTTCAAACTCAACCAATTCAACGCTGTGCTAAATATTTCCTCTGCAAACCTTTGTCATTGTCTTTGCTCCCCACCTCCAGCTGAAATCCTGGCACCATATTTTAGTTCTCTCTCCCTCAAACTCCACATATAATCAGTCATTAAAAGGCTCTTAATTCTGTTCCCTATTGTCTCTTAAATCCATGCACTTCTTGCCATTCTCGTTTCTTCTAGGTTAGCTCAAGCTGCCATCATTTCACAAGTGGATGACTGCAAGGGTCTCCAGCCCACCTTCCCTGCTTCTACAGTTGCTCATTTAAATGCTCTCTAATTCTGTAGTGAGAACAACCTTTCAAAAATGCAAATATCATGTTGCTACACTCATTTCCTACTTAGAGTCCTACAAAGTTTCTTCATTGTCCTCAGGATCAAGTTTGAACTCAGTATGACATTAAGTCCTTTCATGATCTGGCTTCTGCCTTGAACTATATCTCTTACCACTGCCCTGTAAAATACGATGACCCAAAAGTCACCCTTTTCCCACCATGAGAGACCATAGAGAATAATGCTCTCTGTGTGCTGATTGCAGGGGGCAACTTGCAGTAACCTGATTGTGCCACACTTTTCTTGTCTCAGGGCTATTTCCTTTATTTAGAAAGTGACCCCTGTGCTGTGCCCTCACTTGATCTATCACCTTCACCTGCATAATTCCTACTTCTCTTCAGAACTCACATGAAACATCATCTTGTATTGAAAGTCTTCCCTATCCTGGTCAGGCCAGGTAATGTCCTACAACATCTCTGCATGCTCCCATTATGGCACTGAGTAATTTCTATTGTAATTGCTTGTTAGATTATCAAATGGTTGAGGCCAAGATCAGTGTCTCCTTTTTTAAATCTTAAGGTAATAAATAATGAAAACACAACATTTATCTTCAGGATGATTACTTACAACCTTGCAGTCATATAGTAAAATACAAATATACTTTCAAAGATAACTATTAGCAATATAAATATAAAATTACCCACATTTAAAGTATATAAAGTAAATACAAAAATATAAGTGGGAGGAAATACTTATAGGCCATTTTTGGCTTTAATAATTTAGCTTTCATTAATCTAAAAAGTAGGAAAATGGTTATAAAAAGATCAGGATAGTGGTTAACTCTAAAGAAGAGAGACAGAGTTGTAATTGGGATACACAGCTCTAGTGACTAACAGTGTTTCATTTCTTGATTCGGGTGGTAGTTACACAAGTGTGTTTTTTATAGTTACAGTTAAACTGACTAATATATATTTAGCACTTTTCTGTACCTATATCTAGAGTGACTATAGAATCTATCGTACAAACCTCTGAGAGTGAAGAAAAGTATTAATAGTTATTGTACTGGGAGAAAAGGTCTAAATTGGGACTATCCAGAGAAAACCAAGACACCTAGTTTTATCTCACAATGAAAGAAATGTAAAAAACAAAACAGGAAGACAGATAACAGAGTTTCTACCTGCTGACAGTTGGCAGAACTAACAATCTCAAATATCTGTGATGGTCCTATATATTTGCCTATACATGGACAGAAAAAAACAGACAGGAGATTGGATTACTCTGCACCCATTAGGCTCTGTGCTGGAGGTGGATGTGTAAGGATGAGAAGAAGTAAGCCATGATCCTGATCTGAAATGTGTTTGCAATTTCATAAGGGTGTTACATGAAGATATAAAGGGCAGTAGTGTGTGAGGAGTATTACTTTATTTTTGACAGACTGTCTTGACACCAAGTCCAACAGGCCCATTATAAATCCATATGATCCGACTTCAGTGAGGTCCTTCCTCCCTGCTTTCTTCTCATAGTCACCACTTTTTCCTTTATATTGTTGAAATCTTATCTGTCCCATCCTTTCCATTCCCTCCTCTTATAACAGATTCCCAACTAATCTCATTTTTTCTAGTCTTCCCCTTTACTGTGTTGCCAGATCAATCTTCCTGAAGCCCAGCTCTGATCAACCACTCTCCTGCCTAAAAGGTATTTACTGAAATGGTTCCCATTGTCTATAAAATAAGTAGCACTCTTTGGCCAACATCTTCTCTAAGCCTATCTTACCAGCCTCCATTCTCACTACTGCCTGGGACTTTATTTAGGCTCCAGGAAAATCTGGTTTACACATTAAGAGTCTGGAAACTCGAGACAAAACTTGACCAAGGAATTCAGTCTGGGGTCTCATAGGTAATGCAGCTCAGATAATACAAAACCTAAAGGCAGAGAGTACTTCCAAGGTAGCATGTTCAATAATCCATATATGAAATGATAAAGACTACAAATACTACTCAGAGTGATTGCAGAGTGAATGGAAAGAAACGGATGGAACAAATCATTACAAAGGAAGAATGAAAGAATTAGGAAAACATTGTGACTCATGAGGAAAACTGCCAACCAGGCCCAAATGGCCCATCGATGACTAAAGGAGAGGGAAGAATCAACAGTTCTTTCCACTGTTCACTTATAAAGACTACTATTTTCAGAGATTAGTATTATAGCTGAGTCTTTTCCTCCACATTCTATGGAAACACTATTTGTTAATACTGGCTTGTCAGCATAGAAAAAAAGGAACCTCAAGTATTTACACATTCGTATCTCAACTACTTGAATATTTTCAGCCTGACTCTAAGGTCATCAAATTACTCTTTTGTTTTAGATTTTAAAACCAAGTTTTCTAAAAAGTGAAAACCAATTGAAAAAAAATGTCTACAACACCCATGAGTGGGTCAGCTATAAGCACAACTAAACAATTATGCAAGACAAATGGGTCACACTTGACATCCATTGACCCAAAAAGATACAGGGTAGAAACAACAGCCTGCCATCAGGGCAGCACCAGACATTCCTTTCTGTGGGAGCCTCGCAGTAGTCCCTGTAGCAGACCACACAGCCTCCAGCTGTTACTCTCTTTGGCCATGGGGTGCTGGCTCAGGGGTGAGGGGAATAGACTCACCTTGAGCAGATACACAAGTTATCCTGCCTTTAACATGTTACATTCTACAGAAGCCACTACCTCATGTAACAATTCCATAGGCATGGCTTCTAGGGTCCCTGCTGTAAGGGACATGCTCAATTATAAGAGCTACCTACCAGCTTCAGGGAAGATCAAAGTTATGGTATTTACAGTCTATTATCTCCTAATCCAGATGCAGTTTGCCAATTAGAAGTGATTTTCTACCATAGGCAAATGCCGCCTAGCAACCACCCACTTAGAGTGGATGCGATGGTATGCTTCCCAGAACCCCTTTGAGTTATATGGCACTCATTTCCTGAGCTATGCCAGTGTTGGCAGTTAATAGCTTTAACTGAGGCGCTCTCTATGAATTGCTCTCAGCCAAAAAATGTTATCTTGCCTAAAGTTACAATCCCACTTCTGAGGCAACTTATATCCAAAGGCTGGTCGAGATGGTGTGGATTTATAAAGGCCCTATGTCTTGCTCTAGGCAGGACATCTCTGAAGAGCCATCCCAGATCCAGAGATCATCTTAGATTCGGATGAGGCCTTTATTGTAGCTATATTGCAATTCAGCTGCTTCTTCCAAAAACAATTTTTTTTCTTCACTCCCCTATAGGTACCGATCCCAAGAGAACTTCCCAGAAAACTTCCTGCATGCAACTTCAGAATCTGTTACCTAGGAAACCCAACTGAAGATACCACCTTATCAGGCTTCCAGGGACATACAGCTAGAAAGTTAACTGAAGGTCAGAGTCTCATGCAGATGGAGAAAGGATTTTGCTAATCTTTGACCCACAATATATTACAAGAAATATATGGCAAGTATTTATAGCCGTTTCCATGTATTAATACTCTGCCTATGTTTAAAACTACTGCAAAATATTATCGTCTGAAGTTTATCTGTCAGCTCTACTGTTAGCTATGGTAGCTTAAATTGAATCCTGTATTATTTCAATGGTTCTTCTCTATCCTGCT